GTTAAGATAGGAAATATGTAATGCAAAAAACAATATAGGATTGTATATGGGAAAAACGAGATGTACAAAAGTAATACATACGACTGTGATTGTTGCCATCCAGTTTGAAATAAAAGATTGTTCAGGGACATATTCAGATATGTATGTATAAAATCACGAGTAACAGGTCAGTGATAAAATACCTGGAAACTTTTTGACGAGGAATTCCAAGCTAGTTAAGCCAAGTTCCAAACTTTCTACATGATGCTGAGAGAAGTATCCAATTGAGAGAGCTCGGTGCACGTGCCGAAGTCCTTTTGTCGGAATCAGATCGCTCAGAAGAAGCTTGAGTAGTGTAGTTTTACCTGCTCCATTCTCGCCAACCTAGAAAATATAGAATGAAACAAGACAGATAAAATTAGAAGGCAAATAAAGGCCCATAAGAGCAAATTCGAAGGAAAAAAATAAGATCCACATGAAAAGCCAAAAGTGCGTGTTAAAAGTGATAATGAAACGACCGCTATAATGTTAATACAATAAAACATATAACTAAGCGTAGTGCAATGTTCTTTATCTGCATAAACACAATCTAGCTTCGAATTAGTCATAAATATATAACTTTATAGATGAAATAAGTGTCTCGCATCTAATCATCGAAAAGTAGTCTCAGGTGAAATTTCAAGCATCTTAGTTTCTAACACAAATGAGGGAATATAGCGAAAAACGACAATTAAAGGACAGGAGGACCAGCACTAAGTGGGTTCTTCGAAATCAGTTAAAAATGATTCCACTTCCTTATTGCAGCTATCCGTCAAAAGACTTTAACGTTGTGATAAAACTAATACTCCATGTTTTTTAATATACCAAGCAAATTAATTTAATATAAATAAAGAAGACTGTGAAGAAAGCTAAAGCAGTACCCTCCTGCTCTTTATATTTGCGATCTAATAGCAGCAAAAATATTGCAAAATATGGTCGATCAAAATAGAGAATCGTAATTTTTCGTTCGTAAATAGACTATAAAGAATCGCAAGTCAATCATTCCATTTTATCGTTTTAGGATCTTGCAAGTGTTATGACATCCCTATGGATTTTGTAACGTAATAGGGATATATCATTCCGATACGAATTTTGCCAAAGAATCAAAGGCAAAAGGTTGGAAAGAAATGACCTTCTGATGAGCTTTGATGTATAGTCCATGTACACTAACATGGCAGGAGAAAAACACTCACCGTACTACTGGAAATTTTGGAAAAATAAAATGACATCTTGGAGACAGCAAATGTGTAGTCTCTAGCCCGATTAATCAAGGTAACAATGAGAACGACCTATTTCACGTTCAACGGCTGCATCTTTTAGCTAGTATTTGGTCCGCCTATGGGCTCGCCATTCTCACCTCTGCTGGCTAGTGTCTTCATAGCAAGTTGGAGGAGAATTTCAAATTGTCACCCCAGAAGCCAGCAGTAATTAGGCAATATTTGGATAAGTACTCCGAAATTTGTTTGCATGGAAGAGAATTACACGATTTCACGATATTCATAAACAAAATGGATGAAAAAGTCAAATTTACTATAAATGTGGAGGAGAAAGGAAAGTAAATTGCGAATTGGCTCGGAAGCTACGGCCGATACTATGGAAATGGAACATTCATACAATCCTGAAGAAAGGACAATCCTTTTTACCAGCTTGCCTAATCAACATGAAGAAGTCAACAAAATGGAGTGACCCAGTGTTTACCTCATAAGGCGCAAGTACTGCAAACCAAAATAGATTGGAGACGAGAAGGATAATCAGCACAAGGATCAAAGAACACTAACGACTATGCAACAAAATATATATGAAAAATCGGAGATATCTGAACACATCGCCATTACCGGACACAATTGACTAGAACGCAACAGAAAGTTTGGCCTCATATGGGAAAATATACCAGGAAACGAAAGATCTAAGAGGCTGTGGACGTCTTCCTCCAAAGAAACCAGATGAACAGGATATTAGAAGAGGGAAGAATTAGCGATAATTTCGCGTATTTCCTAAGTAGACTTGGAGATTCAGCGAAGACATCAAAAAGAAGACGCTTGCATCCAGGTGGGCTAGATAGAGGTCACCAGTGTGTGTGTAGATATTGTGTGCATTTTTCGTATGTATCTAAAGGGGAGGTGACTGTTACAGGCTTTACCATTGGAGATATCAACCATTACACACACACACACACACACACACACACA